TTTGCTAAAGGTGCTCAGTTTCTACACATCACATATTATTATTATTTTTTTTAAGATTTTATTTATTTATTTGAGAGAGAATGAGAGAGCGAGTACATGAGGGGGGGAGGGTCAGAGGGAGAAGCAGACTCCCCGCTGAGCAGGGAGCCCGATGCGGGACTCGATCCAGGGACTCCAGGATCATGATCTGAGCCGAAGGCAGTCGCCCAACCAGCTGAGCCACCCAGGCGCCCACTACACATCACATATTATTAACATCTGTTTTAAGACATTTAATGTGGCCATGTTCCCATAATAGAAGATGTCACCTTTCCCAGAAGCTTGTCTGCATCACATCAGTTCCTTACAGGGATCTAGAAAGTGATTCTTCATTTCTTCTTGTCTTTTCTTCTTTATATTTTGTGTTGCTTAGAAGTTCCTGTTTTATGTCTGAAGGTCCCCTCCAGTTATCATTTTTTTTGCAAAACATTCATGACCAAAACTTTCTGAATAGCCCACATCTCTTTGATGACTTAAGTGCTTCCAGAGAAGTAATCATCTAGAATCCTATCACTGCAATTTTACAGCATCAGAACAATTATGATCCAACAGAATAGCATTCACCTTTCAGTAGGTGGAGAAAGAGGCTGTTTGCTTGTACATACCTAATTTTAAAATCACAACTCTGGAACTCTTTGACTTAACACATTTATCTCTGACTGACTTCATAAAACATGTCTTTTTCCCACCGCTTAAAATCAAATTTATTTATTCAGAGCGTATAGGTGCTTATGGAGAGCTTGTTATTCACCACAAAGCATCTTTAGTATGGCTTTAAATATGTGCATATAACTCCTGTTTTTAAATTAAAAAGAAAACAAAGAGAATGTTTCTTATAACTTGCAGTGATAGGTAGGGATGCCTGGGTGGCTAATTGGGTTAAGCATCTGCCTTCTTAAGCATCTGCCTTCGGCTGAGGTCATGATCCCAGGGTCCTGAGATGGTGCCCCACATTGGGCTCCCTGCTCAGCAGGGAGCCTGCTTCTCTCTCTCCCTCTGTGTGCTACTCCCCCTGCTTGTGAGTGCATGTGCGCATGGGTGCGCAAGCGCTCTCTCTGTCAAATAAATAAATAAACGAACTTGCAATGATAAAAGCCAGTACTTGGGATGACTAGCCTATGAATTTTAGCTATTCATAGGATTTGAAGAGTATATTTTTTTTTCCAGACAATAGGATTTTTTTATCCTTTTAAAAATATTTATTTTGTGGGGCGCCTGGGTGGCTCAGTTGGTTAAACGACTGCCTTCGGCTCAGGTCATGATCCTGGAGTCCCGGGATCGAGTCCCGCATCGGGCTCCCCGCTCAGCGGGGAGC